TCCGTGAAACAGGTTGCCATTGAGAAATTTTGATTTAACTGAGATGTGGGAATTAAAGACTTAATTTTACTAAACAAAATTAGGGTGAGAGAGAAGACAAAGAGTGAATTTTGTGGTGGTGTTAAGTGAATCAGTGATAAACCATAAACCTGTTTCATCTTTGTCAATTTGGGATCCATAACCGTGATGCAAAGTTGTCATTTATTTTGTGCAAGAGACTTTGCTCAGTGTAACATAGCTTGAGATTTCACATGGCAGAATGAAGGAATTCCATAGTTTTACATTTCTGATCCATAATGTGTGAAATTTCAAAGGTTATGTTTCATTACATGAATTTTGGGATGTAGACTTGACATTTATGGAACAAGTAGAAATCTGGGACGATGTTACTTAACGCAACCAAGTGTTACATGTCTTTGTTGATAATGACTTAATTTCTAACATTCTCAGCATGTCACACATTTAACCTCAAATGAAAGTGGTTTTCTGCATTAATGGTTTATCTGTGTGATCCATTTTTTCATTCTGAGTTTAAAAGACGTGGGAAAGAAAAATAACAAAAAAACTTGCCGAGCAGCAGTAAAATCAGAGCACAGAGACTGACATTTTGCTTCTGGTGTTCTTTTGGGGAGGCATTTTGCCCTCATCTACAGTTATGTTTCAGTTTATATTGTTTCCTTTCATTCCTGCTTGAAAGGTGACTTTATGAGTTTTTACTGAAGACAGTCAGCCATTGTGTCGCATGGGTGGAAAAGTCTGTCCTGTGTTAAGATCAACTAAACATGAAATTACTATTCTTAAGAGCATATAATGGCATTCCTGAAACCTCCAAAATACTGCTATATTCCAGCAGGGATAGAAACTCCCTGAAAAACAGAAGGAACCTTGCTCTTGTCACCTCTTTATTTTAAAGAACCCGCCTGGAATTAGAAGTTCACTGGTAATTTCATGGTGTTTTTCTTTTGCCATCTATCTTCAGAGTTTATGTTTTCTTAATTTTCATCTTTTTATTTTATTTTGAATTCTTTGGATAAAAATGGATTGATAGTTTACTTAAAGATTTTGGCAATAAAAATAACTTCATTAAACCAAATAATTATGCCAGGCACTGTATAATGACCATGGCAGTGTTATTCAACAGATGGTCACAGGTTCATTTTTATGAATGGGAATACTGGGAATTCTTCATACTCATTATGTGCGAGAGATTCACAGATGTCCTTTGCAAATCTGCTTGTGAAAGGCTGGATGTAAGTATTATATTTTGGTGGTAATTTTAAGAGAGCTTGTAATGTATATTACATGAACTTTCATTTCCTTTCATTTTTTGTAAATTTATTTTTTGTACTAGTAGGATGGTAGCAATGTCTTACAGAATACTTGAACAGTGATCAGTTCTAGGTATTTAAAACGTGCAGCTTTTTTAACTCAAGCATTTAGCATTAAGTGATTGAATGCATTTGAAATGTAAACATAGCATCTCATTAAAGAAAAAAATTCTTTATTTAAGCTATGATATGCACTGCATGTGTTTTTTTCTAATTTGTCATAGTGAAAATGACACCTTACCATTTGGTAAAATCATCATCTTTTCTTGCAGTTCTGTAGGAGGTCCAGCTAGGAGGCTATATGTCTCTAAATATGGATGAGACGGAAAAGGCTGTGTCCGTGAAAGATGACAATGTAGTATGTGTTAGTTGCTGTTTCCGTATCTACAGTGATATCTGGAACCATTTTTCTGTTGAATAAGTTACAACATTTCTCATTTTCTTCAGTGCTAGTTATAAATTTGATTTATTTGGTCATGGTGACTAGGAAAGCACTAAATTAGCTTGGCGCTCTAAAAGCTCAGTATAGCAGGCATTTGGTGCATGTTTCACTTGGAGTAATCTCATTGACTTCCCACTAAGTAGAATTAATCTTGGGTTACAAGATTCTTGTCTAATCCTGCAGTAGTCTTGTATTCTAAAATGAATATCCCTGAGGGTGGGTATAGAGAAGTTATAAATTTGTCCTCAGTGGAGACTACAGAGATTGTCCTTCCTTTATACTTAACTCCTTCTGGTGTTTGGCTTTCCTTATAACTGGGTATCAGTCAGCAGTTTCTCCCGCTGGGCTGGGTTGTCTTGCAAAGACTCGTCTGTCCAAAAACTTCAGATCCTGCAGCTTCAAATTCAGAGGAGAAATTACCACAAAATTGTTGTGATTAGCTGGACATATCACAAGAAGAATGTCTGCACAGAATCTCAGCCATCTCTTTACCCTGCAAATCAAATGTTAGATTATTTACTTGTTTACTTTGTACCCTCTTCCCCCATCTTATATCTTTCATTTGACAAATGAAAAGACAGAGAGGCATGGGGAAGGTTGTATGTCTATTCTCTGTACACAGGGTAATTCACTGGTAATTCATTAATTTTGTGTTAAAAGTTTTACTTAGTTTTAACATCCATATTGTGGCGGGTTGGGTTTTGAGATTGGGGTTTTTTTGGCTTAGTTTTGGGGGGGTGTTTTTTGGTTTTGTTTTTTTGTTCTACGGACTGTCCTTCAGGTATGTGTAGCTTTACTGTCAGCTTGATTTTCAGACTTCACTTGGGCCCTTTTTGGTTATCAGTTCCTTGCGCTGTGAAACTGGAGGAGCTGGGGAAGGGACTGGCAGTGAATCAATATATGTTAGGGAAAAAGAAACCCTGAAAAACAAATGTCTGTCAAAGGGAAATGGTGTCTTTAAGGTTTTTCTTAACCCTCATATATAGAGGTGCTTAGGCTGTAGCTAGAGAAGTGTGCTGTGCCTTGAAGTAAATAGTTCTGGTAGCTTTGTCTGCTCCCAGCTGTATTTCCTCATCTAACTGTCCAGGGAGTGTCTTGCATTAGTGCATGAGTTGGCCAGTGCTTCTTGCAAATGCCGGATCAGTTGCATAAATGTGTGCTTAAGGACAACAGGGGCCCCTGCCAGTAACAGAAAAGAAGGTAAGTGGTGCTCCTGACAAATGTTGGGTACCGCTGCCCTTGCTCCAGCAGCACGTGTGTCACCTGAGGTGTACAAACACTGCATGCCTGTCACTGGTGGTGGGTACACTGCTGGTTCCTTTCTCTCCTTCATGGGAGTTCAGTCTAAGCACTGAAAATCAACTGTGAGGGTTGACAAAGAATCTGCCTTTGCCACAGTGGCTGTATAAATCATTAAAATGGTGTTTCTCTGTCTTGGAAAGTCAGGAGGAGGCAGGAGGACAACATGGGGCATTGTTTGGGCTCTAGCCATTTGCCTTGGGTGGAGGAAATGAGGATGACATGAGGCAAATCAGTCTGTGGGGCACCATAATATGAAGCTGTGGTTATATTGGTGTATCGGTGGTGCAGACATTGCCAGTCTTTTCAGTTAATTTTTGATGAACTGTTTCCCACTGTCTCCATGGTATTACTGTTAATTAAGGATCACCTGAGTTGACACTTAGGTTTGCAGCATCATTTTTTGAATTTTGAGGAATTTTTGAGAAGTGTTAACACTTTAGAATTTTCTGTCCACAAGTCTGGCTATGCTTGCTCGATACCAGTATGAAATTTCTGTCTCAAAAATGTTTGAAGTATCAGCTGTTCTTTATGTCTTTCTGCTGCTTCTTTGGTTCAGTGCAGATCTGACCAGCTTCCTCTCTTTGTTTGACTTCAAGTGTTCTAATTTGCTTTTTATTGCACAGTGCTTACATGTCCTTTCAGAAGTACAATAAAATGGGTTAATCCATGAAATAGCTTCTATGTGGCCTGGTGTATTTTACGTTGTGTAGAGTGTTATTTAGAGGAATAGACCAGTATCGATTTCTTTCTTCTCAGAGGTTTTTTTCCCTATTATTTAGCTATGTGAACAATTTGGAAAGGTATTACAATCCATTAAAGTTACAGACTTAAACCTTATAGGGCATCAGTCATTCATGCTCATAAACCTATTGGGATAATTCATATCAAATATGTACCTTGTTGATATGGTATTACTTTAATAAATCCCCCAAGTTCGTAACATAAATCACAGTTGTAAAAATAGAGTGCACAGTAAGAATGGAGAAAAATAGACAGGAGGCTAGGAGAAGTCTGTATTAAACCCAGCCCATTCTGATTAATTCCAGAATTTTAATGTTTACAGATGTATTAATTGGCAGGTATTCATATTTTTATGTTTTAAGACCTTTTGAATGAGATATCATTTTCCATATAAAACAGTCTGATGGGTATTTGCTATTTCTAATCTGTAGATATTTTATATTACATTATCAGCCCTGTATTTGATACATTTATGAAACACAAAGCACTACCATTTGTAGAGATTTATTCATGTATCATTTTCCCCCAGATTTGCCAGAACACCATCATGTTCGTGTTCTGAAGGTTAATGCCCAAAGTCAAACAGACAGAAGCCAAATGCTGCAAGGTTTCCAAGATTAGGACTGATTCCCTTCACGAAAATAAATGATTCCTGCCATGTTCAGTGATTTTGTGCAGCACTACTCACGGCTGAGTGAGTGCATCAATACTGTAGTCCTTACATGCTGTACATACTGATGACACTCTGTGTTAACTTGATTGACTGAGCAGTATACTGGAGAGGATGCACCTGCGAGAGATGTGTAGACATATATATTTTTATTCTGGTTTTGAAACATTTTGGGTTTACTTTTTTTTTTGGAAGGCTTAGTTTCACATTTCATGGGTTATCACGATGTGCTGTTAAGGTAGAGCAAACAGTTACGAGCTTCTTTGTTGTCAAAACTGGATTGGAAAATGATCTAAGGTGCATCTTCTTTCTCTATTAAAAAAGGAGAAAAAGCCTGATTTTGTGTCTTAAAAGAAAATGACATAAAGAGGACGAGTGTGAAGTCTGGCAAGTCAGTAGCTGTGTAAATTATGCTTATTTTAAGGGATTCAGTTTAATGGTAGAGAAATGTCATGTGTAATTCACTTATAAGCATTATTTTTTGCTACAGTTTTATGTTTTGTTATTGTTTTTGTAGGCTTTGAGACAACAGCAGAAAAGAAGAAATGGAGTCTCAATGATGGTAAACAAGACTGTTCCTCGTGTTGTTTTGACACCATTAAAGGTGTCCGATGAGCAGTCGGATTCACCTTCAGGTAAATAGCTAAAGGACCATTTGCAAGATCAGCTCTAGTCACAGAGCCTTCCTCTGAATCAGATGAGTAGCATACAGAATTTGGAATTGCTGAAATACTGTTTCCACTGGGTGGCTTTGTTTAACATCTTTATTTCCTTATCAAGACTCGTGTCTCAACGATGGAGATTTTTCTTTAATAAAGAGCTGAAGGCACAAAGTAAAATGACAATTGGTAATAGCAGCAGCTTTAAAGGAATGCAAAGTAACATTTTGTTTGGCTCTGGAGTTCTAATGGAGGACCACATGCTGGTATTCAATGCCATAAAAAGAGGAGGGGGGGAAAGGCAAGCTTCTCTGTGAATGTGAATTTGTGTCTCAGTTCTGCATTGCAATACTCAAATCCTTTTGTCAGCTTTTCTTCTTATACCATGCTTATTATCACTGCAGCATAACCTTGACCTTTAGCTCTGGTGGTTAAGTTGCTTCATTTTAAGAGATTTCTGTGTCTGTGTTTAACACAAATTGACAACTGTATTTCCAAACATCTATTTTCTTTAAATGTTTCTTCAAAAAGAAAGTATCTTTTTTTCAGCCTTGGGCTGCTTTACTGCCCCATAACTTAAGGTTAAAATATTTTTAAAAATATCTCCTGGGCATTATAGAACTATGTTATTTTTATTAGATCACTGAACATTTTTATTGACTGCAGTGTTCAGTAAACTTTAGTTTTCAGCACTTAATTGATTTATTGAGCTTTTACTTCCAATTCCTCTGATGAGGAGGAATTGTATTGTGACCAGAAAAGTATATTGCCTTTCAGCAAGAAAATGTCAATTTTTTGAAAATCCTATTTTTGTTTTGTTTACGATGTAGAGGGTGCTGAGGGGATTGTTAGTAACTAAGTGCAAAAGCATCATATTTGAGAGATTTTATTTTTTTCAAAGGATCGGAATCTAAAAATGGTGAAGCAGATGGTTCTGATAAGGAGATGAAACATGGGCAAAAGTCTCCAACTGGAAAGCAAACAAGCCAGCACTTAAAGAGGTTAAAAAAATCTGGTTTAGGTGAGTAGGAGTAAAATAAATATCTTACTTGTAATACTGATATTTTTCTAAACTCTGTTCTCTTGGAAAGTTTTATTTTTCTGTTTACCTGTCCCTTTTTCAAACTCAGCAGCTGATCCTTTCTCAAGAAGACATCTTTCTGTCTACCTGGAAAATCCCTGGTCAGTTTTTTTTTTCGTCCTCAGTGGTTGCTTTTTAAAGTTTGGCAGACCTAATCAATTTCAGGCAGAGAGGTGATTTAGCAATTAGATTCTGATTGTTATGTAATGATTTTTTGGGGGATGGGGGCAGTATGTAAGAGATATTCTTTCTTCATGGTGAATTTGCTTGCCTAATGTGCATTTATTCCCAGGCATAGTAGCATATTTGCTTACATGCTTGCCCAATTAGAAGTTAACATTCTCTTTTCTTCATTTGCATTATTGCATGTCATATGGAGATATGGCATAAAAGTTTTGGTTGGTTGTTCTTCTTTGGTTGATTTAGTTCTTCAGTTGGATCTGTAACTATTTCGAAGCTACATCTCTTGAGGTGGTAGATACAGTTTCTCATTATATTTTCTGTGGGTTTTTTAGTGAGGTCCATGGGTCACTTTCTGTAATTAACAAAGAATTTTCTCTGAAGTGATGCTAAGAGTAAATTCTAAATCTCCATGTCATATGCAGATTTTCCTGCTCTGCATGAAATTTAATTGGAAAAGTTCCCTAGGGAGTACAAAATGTAGTGTTCACTAAGACTCTTGTCTCTGCTTAAGTGAAGTCAAAGAATGACATAACTGTTTCTTTATCTTTACAAAGTACTTCTTGCATTCAGCAAAATGCTGAATCATTTAGAGAAGTATTTTGTAATGTGGCCATGTTGGAAAAGCTAACAAACAAGCTTTTTGTAGTGGCTAAATCCCAGAAGTAATATTATGTCTATCTTTGTGGGGATAAGATTGTTTATTAGTCTTGTAAGATTCTTTATTAATCTTCCAGCCTAGTCCTATTTTTATATATAATGATCCTGTAAAATAGCTCCAAGGCATTTTACTTCCTAAATGCCATAGAGCTGTTAAATGTGCTATTGCCAGTTCCTGGCAGTATAACCTATAAGCCTTATTGTATCACAGCCTCCCATGAAAGTGTACTTTGGTTTCATACATGATCTTTCTTTAGATTTATCAATCAGTCCCATGTGGATAGCTAGTTCTCTATGTTGATCCAACATCATTATGCAAAATAGACAATGTTCCTTCACTATTACAGCTTTTGATATGCAGAGTTATATTCAAGGTTAGATTATTTCCTGTGATTTATCTCTACATTTAAGACTGAGATACATACTTTCAAGTATATGTTCTTCTCCATCTTCAGATACGACCTCAATTGTTTGCTCATGGTATCAAATGAATTAATTAGGGGTTTTTTGGTGGATTTTGGAAAATAAATCTACTGGCCTTTTGGGGCACCACACATGAAGTGTGGGAAACTTTGTATAAGGTTTAAGGGTTTCTGTTCTTGTACCTATTGAAATGTTTCTCTCATGATACGACATTTCTTGGGATGCTAAAAGTGCAGAGCAGCTTTGAGAATAGGTCTAGGGTCCTGTATAGTGCACAATTCAGGTCCAGATATTGTTTGATTGTCTGAAAATCTGATGATCTGCCCAACATTCACTACATGTTGTGTTTAGTTGACTTTCTGAGCTCTGATTAAATAAGATTACTTTTTTTTTTCCATTTCAGTTAACAGATTCTGCCAACTGTGTGATTTCTGTCCTTTTTCTGTTTTCATTTCTATTTCTTTATGTAGACCCATGGTGCTCCCATTTCCTATATGGAATAAACTCTTAATTTCCAAGGCTGCAAGCCTGAATTTCTTTCTTGTCTTACAGCTTCTATTTCTGATCTGGACAGTGATGTCCCTGAACTATATAAGGATTCAAAATGTCTTTCTCTGTGGAAAACAACATAAAAAAATATTGGCACATGTTTTGTCATAAACTCTTATCAGAGCTATGATTAGTGATGCAGTAGTGTCATACTTCCATGCTGCTCCCAAATACTTCACTAAATTTTATTACAAACTTGGGACCTGCTATACAGAACCTAAATTAGCCACAGGAAGGGTGCGGGAGAGAGAATTTGTTGTTTTTCTGAACAGATTTTGAGGGTTTTTTTAAAGTAGGACTGTGGTGGGCACCCACAGTATGCTATTGGCCTAGAAGCAATGCACACATTTCTTCCAGAAGCTGACAAAACCCCCATAGTACTCTGTAAGTGATAGCAGGTCAAATAAATCAGAAAATGTAGATTTGACTCTCTGTCTTGGGCTTTCCATGCTGTGAGAATATCTGCCACTGAAGGATGTTACTGATTTTGCAGTCATGTCTTATTTCAGTTCGGGTTATCTTTGTGTGTATGCCTTCCCATAGGATATGAAGCTCTAGCTGGAGAAAATGTTACTCTAACTTGGAGTCACTTAGAAGATGGGGATATGTATTTTGTATTGATTAAAAAAGAGAATATACATACAGGCATTAAAACTTGTGTTACGCTCAGGGACTGTGTTCTTTTTACAATTATATTTAGTGGGTGGAACAGATGGTGAGGATAGTTTATTGTGATGCATTCATGAAAATGGGCACTTCTTCCATGCAATTGTCCTGTATAACAGGACATTCATTTGTTGGTAATAGAGTCTTTGCTGTACTGAAATAGACTTTGTTAGAAATATGTGTTGGAAAAGGTTATCCTGTGCTGAGTGCAAAGTAGATCTTGTCTCATTCAGTTACTATCAGCTGCTGAAAAATGAAATAAAATTACAAGAATGTTTACAGGAGGCTGTCACTGAAATGAAGCTTTTAGAATTTAGAAATCTTCATTTTCTTGCATATGTATTTTTTGTAGTTACAGACTTTCAGGGAAGAGAGCACCATAGGTCCTCTAAGAAATCCAAAGCATAGTTGCATTCCTTCTATTGTGGTTACTGTTAAGTAGCTTGTAGCATTTGAGACATTCCTAATAATGAGTATTCCCAAATTTTCTCATTTTTAAAACAGATTTAATCTTCTTAACGTGTCAGTTTTAATTGTTGCTGAGAGGTCCTATGTAAATGCCAAATGCCATCATTCATCATAGCAGTGGAATAATCTTTTAATCACTTTTTTTAGGGATTCTGATGGAGTTTGTGTTTTATATAGTTCAGACTCCTCTTACACCATTTTTGAAATATTTGAAAGTACAACAAACTGAAACCTGAAGAAATTTCCTGGGAGGAGTTAGAAGCTTTTGAGTTTTTCCAGACACCTGGACTTTGATATGTTAAGATTTAGAGGAAAAAAAGGATTGTAGCAGTATATAAATACCTTGAAGCAGATAGCTCTTTAAAAAACTTTAAAAAATATTTTCTAAATATTATCCTAGAAATAATAACAAAATCAGAGCAGACAGGTTCTCCAGTAGTCATCTAATTTGTTCATCAGTCATAGGTCAAAATCAGATATGCATCTGCCATTACTGTCAGATATTTGTCTAACATACTCTTAAAAGATTTTGATGGAGACTGTAATACCTCGCTATGGATTTAATTCAACATCTCATTGTTCTTGGTGATTGAAAGCTTTCTTTTCTCAGTATCTTAACAGATATATTTCTTACTGTGCAAGAGTTTAAGTTGATAGCCTTTCTGTCCACTGTGTAAAGTAAGAGGACATTATTCTGTATTGCTGTGCATGAGCCATATGTTTATTTCCCTTTCCCTCTGCTGAGTCTTTATCTTACTCCTGTAAGAGTAAGACTCTTGTATCCTTCCTCACATACCTTGTTTATTACTCTCACAATTCCTGCTGCTGCCTTCTGTGTTTTGATCATTTTAGGTCTTAGTTCTTTGGAAAATTCTGAAAAATTCTTTTGTTTTTTGTTGTTAATGTTTTCAAACATTAACATATTAAATAGTCTCATCTCTTTGATCACTCCCTATTCACACAGGTTTTAGCAGGTGCAATGGGACAAGTTCTGTAGGCCATAGGGCGATGCTGATGGCAAAAGAGAAGCTGTCCATAATTGTTGATTCACATCAGCCTCATCAAGCAGCCTTTTGCTTGAAAATAGGTGCTTATATCGTTGATGACATGACAGGATTATTTTCTGTGGCTGTTGAGTTGGTGTCGAGCTAGAAGTAAGAACATGTCACCTGTGATGTTTACTGGAGCATAAGAGCTCAAGAGACAAATGCATTTTGTCTCTTTATTATAAAATAGAAATACTTTATCTTCAAGAGACAAATATAAAATATTTATTATTATTATACAAATATAAAAGATGTTAAGACATCTAGAAAAGGCTGTGTTACCCTTCTCATAGTACCATTGCTCTAGAGCTTATTGTATTATACAGTAAAAGCTAAAAACTTAAAAAGAAGACTTGTTCCTGCTCTTTTTTTATTTATGTTTAAAGTTATTTCTGTTTATTTACTCCAGGACATTTGAAATGGACCAAAGCTGAGGATATTGACATAGAAACACCGGGATCTATTCTAGTGAACACTAACCTGAGGGCTTTAATAAATAAACACACCTTTGCTTCTTTACCTCAGCATTTTCAACAATACCTCCTGCTTTTGCTTCCAGAAGTAGACAGGCAGGTAAGTAGCATCATAAAATATTTCTATTTTTAATGAGAGTTTTTTACAGCGTGTTTGCATAGGCTGATTTAACTGACTAGGAATCGTTCCAGGAAAGAATTAGAAAATCTCCATGCTTTCTTAGGTAAAAGTGTTAGATGTAGAATGACTGTGATGGTCTGTGAAAACCATCCCTGCTTCTTTGCTTCCTGAAAACTCTGCAGGTCCCTGATTTGTCTGAATGGAAACTGGGCAGCAAATCTTTCAAACTTGCCAAATCACTTAATTAGCTTTTCTACCTATGGTGTTGAAGATAAACTTCTCATTCTCAAGACTTTCTTTATTTTGAGTCTCTTTTCACCTGTGATCTTTCTTGGTGCTCTGCCAGCAATGTCCAGGTCAACATTAGTCAATTAATCAGTGTTTGTTCTCCTGCTCTTCATCTTTTGCACAAGCCTACATGAGCTCTCTCAGCTCCAGTGCACTGAATCTATTTATTCACACCTTTTATAAGGAATATCTTCTCCAGAGCTTATGGCTGTGTGCTTGGATCTGTTGAGGAGAATGATTTGGAGAGCAACAGGCTGGAAATAAAATTTCAGTTTTGTGATCTTTCCTACAATGTCTGGTCCTTCCTGTATTTGTTGGTCAGATTGCAGGATTTCTTAGAGAGAGAAAATAAGGTCTTTCTAGCATGTCTGGTAGTTAAAATAGATAAGAGATTTCATTTACTCACTTGCCTCACTTAGGGATTCAAACAGTCTCACCAGTTTCAATGGGGAATACTTACGTACTTAATTCAGACTCATTAACTTACACAAATAGGGCATTATATGTTTTGCAGATGGTCAGTATCCCTCTTTTAATGTAGTAACTAGAGAATGCCGGTCTCTTAAATGAGTAATTAAAATCTGCATCTTAAACCAGTATTTCATTTCAGTATTGCAGGTTTTATTTCTTAAACTGTTTGTTAGTAGTTAGTCCACCCCTAAAGCAGGGAGAAGAAGTGCAATGAGACATAAAAAGAGAAAAAAAAAAGTATTAATGTACATTTACTCAGCCTGTTATCAAACTAGATGCTGTATGTAGTGGACCACAATGCTGCATTTAATAACAGAATACTTGAAAAAGAACATCAGAACAAGATCCATAGGAGAAGCAATATAAATGTATTTATTCTCAAGCTTCCACAATGCAGTCAAATTCAATATTGACAAGTTTTAAGAAAAGTTTTTTCCCTGCAGTCAAGCAGATTTTAACTTAGTATCCAGCAAATATTTTTCTGATAGTTTTGATTTTTTTGTTCTCTTTCTAGTTAATTCATCAGAAAAGATTAAAAAAATGTACTAGGTAAAATCATGTTTTCTCTCCAACCATCAAAGACCCAATGTTCATAAATTGCATTTCAAGTATGGAGTCTTTATTTAGAAGTTTCATACTTTAGAATTTATTTTTAAAAACGGAGTATCTACAACTGACAAGCCACTTACCTTCTTATCAGTGTTCTTACAGCAGAGTTTTTTGGCAAGAAAATCAAGAGAATATTTTTTTGAATTTAAACATGCCTCACAAGTTAAAAGCAGTGCATTTTTTGTCACTTTTATTTCAAAAACCATTCACATAATGCATGTAATATGTTATTTCAGAGGCCCGACACTGCATAATTCGACACTGTTACTTCACAAGCAAATGTTGTGATGAGATATTTGCAGGTGTCCTTCTGTCTGTCATCTTCTCCCAGCATTCTGTGGGTTTGTGTAGCATTCCAGGTTTTCACCTGCATTTGGAAGGCAGGAGTCACCAGTCATCTCTGGAAGTTTAGTGGAAATGTTTGGCCTCTAAGTGTGAAACTTCCAAAATTCTTTTCTGGTGGAGAGTGGAATAGCCCTGAACCCTCTCTTTGCAGAAGTCTTGGCAGAGAAAGAAATGTGTTTCTTTTCTTGATATCTGAGAATATGTCCTCAGCTATGCCTGAAGGGTGGCATCCCAGATACAGACTGATGAAAACAATTGAAATGAAGTTCTTTTCCTTCCTGTGGCAGGTGTAAAATGCCAGTGTAGTGCTCAAGGATCAAATAAAAGGAAAGAGGATTTTAGCAGGGAGTTCTGGTAGGAGTCTCTGCTGTTGGTCATTCTGACAGAGCAAGGCAAGAGTATTCAGTTTTCCTCTTTTATTTCTACTTTCTAAATCAAATGGGGCATCAGGCAAGCAATACTATTCTTTGAGTTAGCTACACATCTCTTGGGGTTCAGTTTTATTGTTTTATATTGGCCTTTCCTTGATTCATTTGAAAATTCTTATTTTGCTCTTCTGGCTCAGAAGTGTTTCCTCCCTGTGTGCTGCTCTGCAGTTGGCTGTTCTTGTCTTCCCCAGAGAAAGCTGCATTTCTGTGTTGCCATGTGGATGTAGTATGTGAAGTACTGTAATAAATGGCACTATAAAAATGTAATAGAGTTATGCTATTTGTGTATATATAGTGATCTGTGAAATAAATTACTAATGAAGTGCAGTTTCATTTAGGCTTTATTACTGCTTCACATAGAAAAACCCCATGATGAATGATTCTTTGTCATTTCTGTCATAAACACCATTTTTCTGGGTGGTATAACTCCTCCTCCTTAAATCGTACTCAGCCAAAACTTGTCATGCATGTGTCACTTTGAATAAGCATTTTTAGAAACCATTAGTTAAGGGAGTTGAGGTTTTCTGGGTTTTTGTGTGCAAGTGTTTATTATAAATAAATTACTTCTGTCTCAATCTTGGTTAGTCTAATGTGTTCAAGAAAAGTTCAGGGACAAGTCAGGAGCTTGTTGGGATGTGTTTTCTGATCTTTTTTTTCATTCTCAAGTGTTGTGGTTGCTATCAGGCAGCTGTTGGAGTCCATGGAACAGAAAGCCTTAGGAAAGATGTCCCAGAATGGAAGAAGTCAAGAACAATTCTTCTGATGTTCATGCTGTCCCTACTCCAGCTAGATATTTGACAAAGAGGAAGAATAGGGTCATTGCCTTTTTTTTCCCCTTGGGAAAAGATAAATTGTATCATGAGTTATAATTACAATTTAAATTTATTTCGGCTTGCATATTAGTTTAAATTCTATTTCAGTCACAATGAGTCCTTCATGTAATTTTCTGTATTAAAAATGCCTGTAAAAGAAGTTGGAGAAAGTTGGCAGTTATGGCAGATGCATTTTATCAAGGATTTTATTTGTTTTGATTTGGGATCAGAGAGAATAAGTATGTAGACATTGTTCAAATCATAGAAACAAAGAATGTCCTGAGTTGGAAGGAACCCATGAGGATCATCCAGTCAAGCTTCTCACCCTGCACAGGACAGCGCCAAGAATCACACGATGTGCATTGTCCAAATGCTTCTTAAACTCTCCCAGGCTTGGTGCTGTGACCACTTCCCTGAGGAACTTGTTCCAGTGCCCAGCCACCCTCTGGGTGAAGAACCTTTCTCTAATATCCAACCTAAACCTCCCCGACACAACTTCAGGCCATTGCCTCGGGTCCTGTCACTGGGCACCACAGAGAAGAGATCAGTACCTGAGAAGCAGCCATGTCCCAGACTTGTCTGTTTAGCAGACTGCTCCAAAATCTTGCATCACTGGACACTGGGAACTTCATGGCTGCAATTTGAACATTCAGATTTTCAGCTCTTCATTAGTCTGTATGGATTCAAAGACTCAAAATCCTTGAAGCTCAGCTGATAGAGAATCCTGTTGTGTGATTCCCTGGGAGACTTGTATGACTGAGCTGGAAATATAGAAAACATGCAGTATAGAAACTATATGGAAAGAAAAGTCTCTGCACAAGAGATTTCAGTTTTCACAAATTCCAGCAAAGTATTTTGCCTTACAGGTCTAATTAGAACATTATACAATGCTAAAGAACAATGGATTTTTCTTCAAATACCTACTTCTGACATTGAGACATCAAGCTGATCATTACATGTGACAGAAGCCTTCTTGACTGCCTCTCAGCAAATACTCACCTTCAAAGCAGGAAGTTTCTCTGTGTGTCTAGATTGCTGTATGGCATCAGTGAGTCTTTAAATATTAATTGAACAATTGTATTGTGCACGGATGGGTAACAGGTCTGTACAACAGGTTGCTGAAAATGAATGGCAGTTGGCAGTGTTGTGTCTACACCAGCTTTCCTTGTTGGTGCTACTGGGAAGTGAAATTCCTACACTTAACACTGGGGAATGGGCAAAAGGAAGGGAAACACACCCACTTACTTAGCTTCCAAAAAGAGAAGTGTAACATTATCTGAAGAGTAGCAGAAAGCTGAAGTGATTTTACTAATACTTAGAGAGCTAAACAAAAATGTTCCCTCCTGAGTGCTCTGGAAAAAAAAGTGTGTCTTTCCAGACTCCATGACTGCTTAACACCTTTCTGATCTTTGAAAATTTTACTCTGTCTTGCATTTTCTCTTCTGGTAATACTGGGCTCTTTTCAGTCTCTTGTGATTTGCACTTGCTTTGCCCTTTCACACAGAATGTGAATTTCTTCCTACAAAAATACTTCAAAGCCTCCTCAGACGTGTGTGTTAGGTAGCACTGCCATTTTATCAGACCAAATCTGTTCTGGAAGAGCATTTAAAACAGTAGAGGAAATCACAGTAATGGTTATATCTTGTCTCAGCTTTACTTGTTTAATGAAAGAAATTTAGCAATTATCTATATTTTATCTACAGTTTATAGATAGTCAAGTTAGTTACTTAAATTTAAAACTTCAGTATTCTTAAGAAATAACTTAAGATGTGTAGTATTGCAAAAGGTCTTGTAAATATTTCAGGTTTGTAGCAGGTCAGTCTACTGAAAAAAAACCCCATGATGTACAATTCAAAGGATTCTAATCTTAATGGGTCAAAACCCACCTTATTCTCTTTCTTTTAATTTCTAAATCAGAGAATCCCAAAATAATTATTGTCTGTTGGGTGAGTGCTAGTATTGATATGCAATCACATCACAGCATCCTTTTATTTTAAGGTCAGTGCAGATTCTGTGCTTCTGTCTT